GAGCTCAGGTGAGGAGCTCAGGTGGGAGCTCAGGTGGGAGCTCAGGTGGGAGCTCAGGTGGGGAGCTCAGGTGAGAGCTCAGGTGAGAGCTCAGGTGAGGAGCTCCTGACAGGCTTCAGCTGAAGGGCCCACTCAGCTTTCACTTGTAAATGGCCCTCCCCTCCCCCAAGGCAGGTCTGGCCTGGGACTTGGGGCCCTCAGGCCGGACTGTCCTTCCTCCCAGGCCCAACTGTGCACCGGGTTTGTCAGGCCTGGGGGAGGGGGCGGCCAGCAGAGGCGAGGCCAGACCAGCCTCCGGGTTAATGAACCACCCAGGGCTGCCGGTGCTCAAAGTCCACCGAGTGGGGGAGGGGCCGCCGCAGGCCGGTGTCCAGCCCTCCTGGCCGCCCAGACCCCTGGCTCAGGAGCGCCCCAGGTGGCCGCGGAGACTGCCCTGGTCAGGCTGGGTGGCCAGGGCAGGCCGGCAGCCAACGCCTGCTCCCTGCCCTTGACCTCGGCGCTGGGGCCGTGATTCACGTTCCCAGGAAAGTGCCAGGGCCCCAGTAAATTTCACCAGGGCTTTGTGCTTTCACTGCCCGGCCCATCTCGTTAAGGAACCGGATTAAGTTTATGGACCTATCAACTCGCTACCCGCTCTGCAGCTCCCCGCGGGCGGGCGCCGTCCGCACCCCCGCTGGGGGTCCGGGTGGGTGAGGCCCCTCGGTGTGCGGCGGTCGGCCCAGGCCTGCGCCCCTCCCGCGCCGCGGGGGTCCCCGCCCGGAGGGCAGCTCCGGCCCCTCCCACGGGGCTAGTTGCCATTCCCGGGCCGTAGGGAGTAATATCTTTATCTGAATGCGAATGCTAATGCGGGGCTCCCTCCGCGGCAGCCTATTCGGCGCCCCTGGAAGCAGGGGCCGCCCGAGCAGGCGCTAAAAGCGCGCGCTGACCTCCGGACGGCCTCTGTCACGCCGCTGAATGACACGCACATTCAAGCGCCGGGCCCACTTTCATTCATAAAAAAATGACATTGTTCCGGGAGGCTGCAGCCGCCGCCGGGGAGAGGGGCGCGGGGCCGCGGGGAGGGGCGCGCGCCATCTGCCTCGTCCCTGGGGGCTCCGGGCTCCCGGGTGGGGCCGCCCAGGAGCGTGGACACGCCTCTCTGCGCAGATGTTCCTGGAAAATGTTTAGGCTGCGTCGACTT